TTTGTGACATGAGTTACCTACTTGCCTTTTTATTAATGTTATTCTATCTTTCAATGGATTTGTATAGTGACTAAAACGACACTACGGGAAACAGAAAATAAGTCCTGAGCAATAAAACGTTCATCTGTGCGTCTTTTTGATAGCAAGCCAGATAGTTTTAAAGTTCCTAAGCTCAACAAATACAATTATCTACATGAACTATTCCTGAATCCAAAAAAACAATTTTATAGAAAGAATATAATGGTTGACTACGTCATAAATGCCAATTACTTTCAAGTAACTCTACTTCCATTGTAGATATTTATTTGGAGAAAATATCACATAACAGGATATTGAAAGATATCATCTCATTGTTTTACAAAATATCATGTTAATAAAATTTAACTTATATTGTATCTATTTATTTCAAACCAAGTTTTTTGAAAAAAAAACGTCAGAGATGATTGTCAAAATAATAACTTGTGTTTTCAGTGGATTTATTTATTTTGAGATATTTACTCGTGTTTTCTAGTTGCATTGATTGAAATTTATTTCTTAACTTTCTCACTTTTTTTCTCCATTTTTTGGGTCTTATCTTAGTTCGTAATATCGTTCATTTTCCTGCTTCGTATCGTCAGGTTGTTAATGACATTTTTGGCTTTCTTACATATAAATTATCATCAACCATTTATTGAATATAAGAAACATTGAAACTTTGTGATTTTCTCTAGAAATTTTAAAAACGTTTTGCATTAACTAAATCGTAAATACTTACCCATATCTAAGAATCGAATATTCAAGATACAGGGTTATTGATTTTATGTTTCTAAAGCAAATATAAATAATTGTACATTTATTGATTTGTAGTTTGTAGATTAGTTTGTAGTTCGACTAGTGAAAAACACATCATCTGTACAAATATCTTTTATTTTCGATTAGATCGATCAGAATTGAAGAATTAAAAAACGTGCCTTTCACACTTTCAGAGAAAATACAATATTATAGGTAGACCGGCTTTTTGTAAATGCAATGGTTTTACAACAGTTTCTTGTGGATGTACTCAGATATCATAAAATTATGTTTTGACATATCCATATAGCAAATAATAATCATCATCACTAAAAAAAATCAATGAAAAAAGTCGTCTTCATTTTTATAGCAAGTTTTCACAATTTCACCTGGTGCAGCTGTTGTTAAACAATCCATATAGGAATATGGTCAACCTCAAACTAAACATATGATGGCTTGAATTGTGTTTGCCATATGGCATTAAACAAGTGGTACCAAAGAAAAACTAAGAATTCAAAAATAATATTAATTATTATTTTTAATTGTGTTTTTAATGTCTGTTTATTAGATGTAAGTCAACATGGCGACAGCATAATAGAATATATTTTTATAGGTCTTAAATTGTATCTATGTATGCATGTGATTCTCCAAATTTCGTAGATTGTTATTGTTGTAGAAAACTTATACATAATCCATTAATCTACTGAATTCTTAATTAATAACGTTCATCATCTAATAATACATATAAGTACTTATACTTACATATAAGTAATTAATGAATTTCTAGTTAACATGCTCTTAAAATACTCTTATCCTCATATACCTTGATATGAAAATGTCACTTAAACTTCTTTTTTTGGAAATATTTCAAGTTTTTTAATCTTATCTATTAATACATATAGAATTATATAAACCATAAGTTCACGTAACTTTTACAGTTCTTTTTAAATTTTATAACTAAAAGAAAAATTTATAGAAAAATGTCTATGTTGAAGATTGAGACTATATTCCATACCTGAATGCCATAAGTTGTTATTATTAATTATTAATTATTATTAATTATTAATTTCTATAAACTAACGCTATATGAATTTATTATACTAACGATTCTAAATATTAATATATATGAGTATGATTGCGATTTCTCCATACACCATCTGCCGAGACTTACCTACTTATTTATTTACTTACTCACTTCCCAAGATATCCAGGTTTAAAATTGGGAACTATATACATTAATCACACTAATAAAAATCACACCATTTGGTGCAAATTAATACATGCAAATTTTATATTTATTATATTAATGAGGAGTATCAACTAATGGACATGCCATATAGCACAACTACTTTGTGTTAGTAGTTAGTTAAAAATTTTTATATATTTACCCATATACATGGATATTTAAAGTAGTAGGAGTGATATTTCAGATCATTGAATCATTGGTTGAAATGCGGATATTTGTCTTTGTCAAATTTGAAAACTTGCAATAATTTAAACAGAACGTATTTATCAACAAATTTTTTTATTTGCATTATTTGTTATCCATACTTTGGATATTCGATCCATGTGATTCAAATACGTCTATTCGTATTCCCCAAATTCGAATAATTTGGATTACGAGTATATTAACAGAACATTTTTATACATGTTAAATTAGTTAACCAATTAATTGACTAAACTCACTATTATGATTAGACATATCTGATTAATCAAATTATCTACATTTCAAATTATCTAAATTTAAGTTTTAACTGAAACTTTTCAGTTAACTTTAATATAAATTCTTTTTAACCAATTCGTTAGTGAAGTGTAAAATGTTTATCTACCTTCTTCATATCAAATATGTGAATGATTAAAAAGTAAGTATCTTAAGCCTTCATTATTTTATCAGTAAACGATGTGCTGGTAAGAATTTCGAGTGTTCAGCTTAACGAGAAATGAAAAGTTGTGCGGCACGGAGGAGGAGAGATAAATATTAATAAATATTTTATTATTGCACATTCATGTCACACGGTCAATAACTTTTTGCTATTTCGCCAAATCATTCCCGAAAACTTTTCTTCTACTTCATTTCTTTTTGGGCAGTACTAACCGAATCCATTTACCAACTTACGTGACTTTCTAAACGAATTTTATATTAATAATTGGACCGAAGGTATGAAAATACTACATGTGAACACTCATTAAGTGTGAAGAAAGCTGGAAGAAAAATTGAAAAAAAGAAATCAATAAAATAAACTTTAAATAAATGCTTAAATTTTAAAAAAATATTGACTGTAAAATGAAGTTTTTATGATGTTAATAGCGTTTGGAGTAAGACTATCCTTATTAACACTGAAATGATCGTAAACAGTTTAATTATTTAACTAATATTTATACAAATTCGCAAGAATATATTTAAATCGCGCTTGAATTAACAGAAAAGTGCAGTCATAGATCACTAAACCTTATAATGTAATATACAAGTAAGTTGGCAAGGGATTAATTAGGACACACATAACATATAGCAGTGGGAAAATCTATATTTTGAGAAACTGAAAAGTTGCTTTTCCAAACTCCATATTTTCGAACTTTTTGCAATAAAATTATATACAATTATTTTTGAATATGTAAAGAGATTTTCTTTAAAAATTGCAAAATTTTTTCTTCTCCTTTCATTATTTCATTTTTTTTTTACTTATTTCCTTATTTGGTGTTTAGTACATTTACCTTACACTTTGACTTTTGCTTATTCTAGTGTACATATATTTTAGTCTTTATTCGATATTTAGTGGTGTTAGCTGATATTTTGAGCTGTTTTACCTGTTTTAGTGCTTTTTTTTTTATAAATAGGACGCTATTTACATGCTTAATTAGAATCAATCGTTCAGTAGTGCAATTTAAATGCAGTTTTTAATTACAAATACATGGGTTAAGTCATCTATTAAGCTTAAATAAATAATGTTGAGGATTTTTCACGATCTATTTTTCATCAAGCAATGCCATTTTTAGTTCAAAAATCAGTAATAAATTAACTGGCTGCATTTGCTGCTCCAACTAACATGTGATTTAAAACTCTACCAGAACCTCATATACTGATGATTTTTGAAATATTTTCCAGCAGTGCAGTTCTGCGTTTAATTTTATTACTTCCAATTATTTTGCTGCCTGAAATAACGAAATAAAGAAATCTACAAGAAAATACTTAAGAAATTAACTAGGAATTTAAATCATTATGAAGTCTCACACAATGAACAGTGAACGCTACTCTTTATGGTTAAAATGCCAAGAAACAAGCTAACTGAATTCCAAACACAAGTTAACTGTGTCTACAGAGAAAAGAAATAAAAGAAAAGAAAACACAAATAAAAAACAAAAATCAGCTTTTCTCTACTTTTTTCGTAGACCAACTACATTAGTCAAAGAAAGCTGAAGATAGAAGAAAAAAACAAAAACCAAAAAACAAAAAATTATTCAAAACCAAACAAAAGACAACGAAGTTGGATAAGAAATATGTTTGGTGGGGTTAGACGGGCTGTTAGTTGTAAACTATGTAAAACAGAAATTTTTAAAACCATTGCTGCGACTATTACTGGTGCTGCTACTGCCAACAACAACACCAGCAATCATACCAACATTCTTTCATTGGTACAACGACCTCTTGCTTTGCAGTTTTTTCGCTCTAGAAAAGTTGAGTAATTTTTAATAAAGTGCTTTCACACAATCTAGAGTAACAGCGAGTACCGAAGAGTATGACCAATATAGTTGGGGAAATCTAATTTAAACACAAAAAAATTTTCTCTCGCACAACCGCTCTAAGATTGCTTTTCTGCTTTTCTGCTTTTATACAAAGACAAAATATGAATGACTAGGTTTGGTCATAAAAAAGCAATACAATTTAAAACAAACGTACATTGCAGGCTATTAAAAGCTAAGAACTTTGCGAACGGCCTTTAGACGACCTACGCTTACACAAGGCGAAACTATGCGATGCAAAGCATTGAAATGTGCGCATAGGTGTGTGTATGAAGAGAGCATATATAAACAGATGCTGCCTCCACAATGTCTCCGAATTATCTTTGATTCGGCATGTGCTTAATGCGCTCTTTTTGACTTTGCAAATTGCTTATATTTTTGCCTTTGCCTTTGCTTTTGCTTTTACTTCTGCTTCTGCTTTATTTGCTGCTCTTCATTTTAGCACATACCAAACCGGTATGTGCATATTACGGTTTTTCGTATGCTCAGTAATACAATAACGACGTTGCTAACATCATCGTCAAATATATTTAGCTCTGCGTATGGCTGGAACACATCGTTTCTATTCGTTTTTGTGTTGTCGTCGAATTTGTTGCTTCATTCATTCGCGTTTGGTTCGTCCGTATGTTTCGGTTGATTTTGGTTTGGTTGGGTTTCAACTTTTCAGACACTGGCATTCCGTTGCTTCGATAACACAGTGCAAGTGCCAAGGGTATAAATATAAATATAAAGTTTATTATAAAACTGAAAAAACAAAAAAAAACTTGAATAAACAAAAATTAATTTTAACAACACAAAAAATAAGTAACAGATAAAGTGTGAAATATGAGACTGACACAAGTGCTGCAATGCTAAAATTTAAATAAAGAATTTTAAAGACTTGTTAATTAAGCGCTAGACTAGTCCGAATCGATGCAATAATGGACCTGCATATATGTTAAATTTACTAAAAATTTGCAGTGTACGAACTACGAAATAAACCAATTCGAAACGCTGAGTTATTTGACAAGTTGTCACAGTTGTCATAGTTATCTGTTAAATACGAAAAGACGGCGCTAGACTAATTAGAAAAAAATTGAGAAAATCACAAAAAATTATCTACAAAATTATTAATAATTATAAGTAATCACAAAGTGGTTAGTAAGTCGCTAATTATGAACTTGTTTCGTTTACGAATTGCATCTCGTTTGCCAGCGGTTCGAATAGAGCTCGTGCTCAAACAATCAACATTAGGCACACTGCAAAATCTACTGCAATTGTAGTGGGATTTTCAACCTAGTGTATATGTGCTAAGTCGGACTCTGCTCTAGGCTAGCCATGTCTATCGGGAAACTTTCATACGCGCGGCATACTTTAAACCGGATGTGAACTTGGACACTGCAATTCATTAACAATGATTAAAATCGTACTCTTAGACAAAATAGCGTTTGATTTCTAACAGTGTATAAATTACACGTAAAATGAAAAACTTCAAATTATAAAAACAGAGTGTATCGAAAAATGCATACAAATTTCATAGCCATCCACAATGTGCTTCTCGACAAATCAGTACTAACTCTACAAATAGACCAAGTAAAGACTGCTAACGGCATTTCCCTTGCCAGGAACGCAGGTCTTGGCTTTACTTTTTCTTATTAAATCGCAGTTTAATCTGCGCATTTATTTAAAATTAGAAAAAAAACTGAGCCGCTCACGTTTAAGTTTTCATTTAATTAAGTCGTAAATTAATTCGCAGCTTAATGGATTCTTTTCCGACGTTTTTGTATCCGAACGCTGCTACTGCCGAGCTAATGAAAGGTAAATAATACAATTAAAATATAAATAAATCTAAAAGATATAGAAACGAAAATGTATGGAAATCTACAGAACTTTACATGTAAAACCTGCTATACACACTGGAGTAGTTAAAATTTAAAAATTCTTATTTTTTGTTAACTTTAGTTAAGCATATTAAGCAATTCATTTATTTAAGTTTTTCGCATTTTAATACATATTTCAATTATTCGACACTTTATTTCCATTTATGAAATATGATACCAGTTTGTATTTAACACAATCTATGTAAGTTTAATTCAAAAACACAAAAAGTGCTTTGGAGGTAGTCAAGTTTTGATTTGCTGAACTATTTTAATGTTGTTGAACTTTTTATCTAAACTTGACTCTTTAAAGGTTTGTTTTCAATTACTTACAGGTCGCTTTTTCTTACATTTTATGCCTCATAGTTTTCATCACATGAATGCAAATAAACATGTTAATCGCTTTGTCTGTTATATAAGATTCAATTGTGATTTTCTGCTCTGACATTTTTCGAAGCTTTACAGATCTACCGCTTTCATTAGTAGTGAACCATAGAAAATATCGAAACTGTTGTTGCATACTATAATCGCAGCATTTTAGATAACATTTCATATAAAGTGTTTAGCTTATTATTTACATTTTGTAATTTTTCATTCTTTTATTATATTCGAACATTCTGCGGAAGCATTCAATACCCAAATACCTATATACTCATCTATCTACGACAGACGAATGTGACATTTAATGCCTAAAGTTCTTAGTGAAAATGTATTAATAATATAATTAAATAATAATTTTTGTAACGGAATGAAAATAACTACTAATACTATGTATATAACGATCTTCACTAAGCAATGTGTTTCTTTCTATTCATCGTTAGCGTGAATGTATTTTTTATAAATTATTTTCAAAACTCCCTTCTATATGAAAAACTTTCTTTTAACTTCAATTTCAATTACAAAATTAAATTTGAAATAAAGAAATTTCATTTAGCAACAGAAATCATTACTTCCCCAAATACCTACAGTGTGAGATAAGCGAAATGCTCCATTGAGCCTATCTCTTTGAAGATCGAAATGCAACAACCTGTAAATTGAAAACTGTTATTATTTATACAGAATAATTTTAATACATATTTTATTTATATTTATGTTCAAATAAGCCGTTCAAATGTACAAATAACCTGGATTAATTACAAACTATGAGACTGTTCCTATATTAGATTGAAATCGGGGTTTCCCCAATATTATTTTATTTTATGTAAAAATATTGCTTAACGACAAATTTTATATTTTAATTGGCATTAATGAAGTCAAATTAAATTCATTTAATTTTCTAGTTTAGTTTTATATCTCACATCTTAACAAAACAAAGTTTTTGCAAGTAATACTCTTGACTTAAAATATTCCACATGGGCGCAATTTATGTGGAAAACCCCCGCTTTTAATACGCCACACGCGTACAATTCCACACCTGCAGTTGTGATCAAATTACTGTGATTGCTCACTTGTTCCAATTTTATTATTCCTTATCATCGTCATTAATCATCAGCGTCACATTTTGTCATGCGTTAGCAGTGATAATAACGTAGGCGTCTCTTCGAATGTGACAACTAAAATGATCCAAAATGCATGATGTAACATTGCCCAAATATTTAACCCCTTCACTTATTAACTAGATAAATTCCAGCCCATATGAAGTCACTAAGTCATTTGAGATATGTTTTAATTTACATGACAGTTGATTGATTAAGCGAGAAAGATCATACTTGCGTGTGCGAAGACACAATTTTGGAAAATTTGATTTGTGAAGATTTTCGGAAGTTTATTTTCACGCAAGGAATCTTTACAGTTCGTTGGAATTTGATGTTGTTTTTTTAAATTAAAATTAGGTATCTTAATAACTTCGTCATCATTAACTTTGCTACCTCAACGGTTCTACTTGAACTTTGACCACGTGTAACGCTTCTCTCTTTCTGGTTTTGGATCTTCACATTCACATCTTTTGCGTGTAATTTAACAATGACGATCCCTCTCTTCTTCGGGGTGAGTGGAGAAGATTTGTTTTCTAAGTTTCGCTTTCGGATATGAATAATGGCGGGATTTTATATATACAATATATATATATAATAAATGCAAGAATAAAATATAAATTTCCCACATGAATTTCTGATATATACAACCATTTACACATTTAAAGTATTGAAAAAATTTCACTATCACTGTAAGACTGTGAGGTTGCCAATACCTTATGGTCTAGATGAGATAAGAATAAAACAATCAGCATTTTGGGCTTCAGCACACCTGCAGTTTATGTACTTACTGAAGTAGTATCGAGGCAGTCCACCATGGCATCAATGCTTCAACGGCAGGCAGTGTATTCCGACAAACTGTGCAAGAGCTGCAATGATGACAATGAAATATGTTAGAATCTGGTCATCACTTGCAATGTCTTTACTTGAGTCCTACACACCGTTTCTTCATTGGCTTGACACAAATAATAAAAGTATCTGGCAAACTGAATGGTTTAACAAGTAGAATACCAGGAGATAACAACGGTAGTTACCGTTAAACTACCGATCATGCTTCGGTGGTTCTCGTGACTTATCTCTACGCTTGTGAAAAGACTTTCTTATATATTCTTATATATGCCAATGATTTAATCATCAGACGAGCCTTGATGTAAGGCCTTATACAAAACAAGTCCTCTACTATTTATCAGTCCAGTTATGATGTTGTTTATCACCGCTGCCTGGTTGTTTCTGAGTGTTAAAACCAATTTTTTAATTTGTTGTAGGATTAGCGAGGATAATGTTAGCTCCTAATTTAATACAACATAATTTTTTGGGGTCCCATCTAATCATGATTTTAAATAACTTGTCCGTGTAGAGAGCCTTTTATAATTAACATACATTTGTTTCCTGTTGTGTGTGGCCTTTTTTGCTGGCGTGAGCCAATGTAACGGCGGTATCATTTTCTCTATTGTGACCCAGACTTTCAATTGCGGAATCCTTCCTTTTACAACCATTATGTTTTTACGCTAAAGCAGTATATTTGGTAGTCTTCCTTTATTTTGATATAAATTTTGATGGAATGTGGTGTGGTTATTTGTATATAATTTAGAGTACTGACTTTAGATATCTATTAATGTAGTTTTCTGGGAAAGTTATGTGTAATTATTGAAGAAAGTTATTTGTATTAGAGTTCTTTGTAAAAATAGTTGTGAAAAAATTGCAGGACGATTACTTAATAAGTGCAACACAATAAATGAAATTTTTAAAATTAAAATTCTCTGAGCCTCTCATCTTATACTATATATATTTTGAAATATTTGATTATTTATTCATCGCCCCTGTATTAAGTTACTTAACAAAATGTTTAGATACAATGCGTTACCTGGGTATTGAAAATTTAATAAAATAGTGTATTTAAGCTCGTTCTACAGATCTATTAATGATCTTTAGTCAGACAGTTTAAAACTATTTGAGACCTTTAGAAGAGCAATAGCGAACTTGCAGTAAACTAACTTGCAGTTGACATGTTTAATTTACGGTAAAAATTGAAATTATGTTAAATTTGACCCCAACCAGAAACACGCCACATCTATAGCACTTCGACAGTTTCAAAATATTTAAATAAAAAACAAAAAACCAAGGAAATTTTATACGTTTTTTACATTTAAATTGTTAATAGAAGAGATACATAAGGCTACGTTTAATTGTATCTGCAATAGACGAACACTTAGGCACTTACCAAGCTCATCTGCATATTCATGAGTGGTAAGCGAGAAAAAGAAACCTCAACTATGAATTTACTGAATCATGGCAATGCCGAAAGAAGCTCAAGTAAAAATGCTAAAAACGTACCAAAAGCAATACAAAACGCAAAATTGACATTTAATTGAACAAAACACTTTTGTGGGCCACAAAGCCAGAAATATGCAACTAATCCACGGATATGTAGACTAGTTCCGAAACAGTGATAACGAAAGCCCGCATGGAACTCGGCAATTGCAGAAAATGGGAAGTACATAACAGATGGAAGCTCACTACGTTAGTGATTGACAAATAGACGAAGCGACGAAGTGACTGACAATCCGGGAGGCCGTCACATGGCAGTTAGTGAAATATACTACAGTAATGAAATGAGAAGGAAAAAAAACTAAAGTACTTGCAATGCTGAAGCCGATTTCCATGCAAATGCCGCAGTATTTTTATTGCTTATCGCGTTCCCGAACCGTTTCGGAAGCGGTAGAACGCGCAGTAATGAAATACAAAATAGTGCCACAACTACTCATGTATACTGTAGGAGTCGTCATTGGTGCCAGATATTGGAAGCACTCAAACATAAGACGAAAGGTGAGGTGGAGTTGAAATTGGAATTGTCACTGTTGCTGTTGCTGTAGGTGTTGTTATTGTTGTTGCTTTTGCTGATAATAGCGGGGTTGAAGGAGTTTTACTTCTGTTGTTGGTGGCAGTGGCACAAATGTAAATACAGTAAATGGAAATGGAAATGGCAATCGAAAATAAAACGAAATAAAATTAAGAGATTTACATACACATCCGACAGACACCATTGCACTGTGGAACCAAATTTAACTGTAAAGTGCCACACACCAATTTTTTTCGATTTCTTTTTTTTTGTTGTGATAATGTATGGGAACGACATGAGACAACAGACGATTTCATTGAAAATGCATGAGCATGAAACCGATACAGGACGAAAAAATGCTATTAACATGTCGAAAAAATTAAAACAAAAGGGAAGAAAAAAAATAAGTTAAAGACTCGAATAAATGCTAAAAACATCTGAAAAACTGAACGAATTCAGTCGTTAATTTGAATGGCTGTAATTTATCTTTATTGGTTTGGGAATACTTTGAAAATATTAGTGGGGAATGTACGTTATGCAAAGCAGAAACAAAAACCTACGAAAAGAAATTCCTACAAACTACATTTTATCAAGATATTCATATTAAATTTCCAAAGCACTGAAATCAAG